GCCCAACCTTCCTTCCGAGGAGTGGCTGGTGGGTTTGAACCGCCAGCCTTCTGGTTAGCAGTCAAGTGCCTTAGGCACTATGCTACCAGAGCTCCTATCTTCTTCTGAGAAATGTCTAATTAAAATCCCTTGCCCATTTTTTAAAATTAGGTTATTTGTCTTCTTATTATTGAATTGTAAGAGTTCTTTATATATTCTGGATACAAATCCCATAGCAGATGTAGGATATGCAAAACTATTTTTCTTTTTCTGTGGTTTATCTTTTTACTTTCTCAAAGGTATCATTTGTAACACAAAAGTTTTAAATTAATCACATATATATTTCAGTTGCATACAGTCTTTTGTGTGAACATGTTTTTATTTCACTTGGGTAAATACCTAGGAATGGATTTGCTGAGTTGTATGGTAGGGGTATGTTCACATTGATATTAAACTGCTCAACTGTTTTCCAAAGTGGGTGTTTTCACATTCTTCCTAGTAATATGGAGGAGCTCCAGTGGCGTAGTGCCTTAGGCATTTGACTGCTAACCGAAGGCTGGCGGTTCAAACCCGCTAGCCACTCCTTGGAAGGAAGGTTGATCTACTTCCATAGTGATATCTTCTCAGAAGCCCAAGGAGGGGTTACTATGAGTCGCATCTGACTGGAGGGCGGTGGGTTTAGTAATATGGAGAGTTCTGTTGTTGTTGTCGTTATGTGCCATCGAATCAGTCCCGAGTCATAGCGACCCCTCCTTGGGTTTCCAAGGCAATATCACTACGGAAGCAGATTGCCCCATCTTTCTTCTGAGGAGTGGCTGGTGGGTTTGAACCGCCAGCCTTCTGGTTAGCAGTCCAGTGCCTTAGGCACTACGCTACCAGAGCTCCCATGGAGAGTTCTAGTTGCTGTGAATCCTTGCTAGCACTTGGTATTGTCCATTTTTTAACTCTAGCCATTCTAGTAGGTATATAGTAGTATCTCATTGTGGTTGTAATTTCCGTTTTCCTAATGATGTTGATCATCTTTTCATGCACTTATATGCTGTTTGTATCTCTTCTTTGGTAACATGTTAAAATCTTTCATCCATTTTTAAACTAGGTTGTTTTTCTCCTAATTACTTGGTGTATTTTGAGTTGCTGTGGTTATTTTCAGTGCATCAACAGCTTCACATTCCCTCTTGTCTTACATTGTGCTTAGAGGAAGAGCTGGATTTCTAGACAGTTTTTCTCCATGTTCCTGTTCCACCCTTGTTTATAATTGTTATTGGCAAAAGGGTCAGTCTGATATAACTTCAGTATTACTGTAAGTGGGAGCTCTGGTAGCATAGTGCCTAAGGCACTTGACTGTTAACCAGAAGGCTGGCGGTTCAAACCCACCAGCCACTCCTCGGAAGGAAGATGGGGCAA